GAAGTACATATTTGAATATTGGGCAAATTTTAGGTTGATTTGCCATTTGTCTGATTTTTTTTTTGATTTCAACTAGCATCAATCAGCCGTCAATCAAATATGATGATTTTTTTCTGGATTTTCATTAAATTGTCCGATTGGCATCAATCAGATGTGCTTATTTGTAATGTCAGTCGATTTTGGTCTGATTTTTAGCTGATTTTCCATATGTCCGATTTTTTTGATTTCGACCAGTGGATTCTTGCTAATGCAAAGTTAAATGTACCATTAATATCTGTTGATAGTAGGATTGGCATATTGCGAGTTTTAAATGGTATGTTATATCTGTAGATATACTCTACTCCATCATCTTCACTAAAGTTACCATCTCCAAATAATCCCTCAAGGTAAGAATCTAAACGTCTTATTGTGGCAAATATTCCAATTCTTACTTTTATTGATCCCAATCGATTTCTTTCATCCCGAAGAATATTCTGGATTGTTTGACTGTGTGCTGTAAGAAATGAAGCATAGTCATGCTCTCCAGGTGTTCCTATAGCAATATCAGCTGTAAAGTTTTAGTCTGTTAACTCCTTTCCTATACGTACCTGATCACGACGTTCAAAGACTACCTCATAATGTAGGTCTGGGTCAATTTGCATCATGCGGGTTATCTCTTCATTAGTTACCGCCGCTTGTGCTTCACAGATTTGGCGGATCTCATCCTCATATTTCTGCAATTTTGCATTTGAGCGGGGATATAGGATGGATTTGACGGGTACCTGCTTGAGTTCAGCTAGAACTGATCGGACGACTTGTCTGTGTTGGGCACTTCTTGCTTGATGTGTTGACATCTTGTAAACTTTTTATACTCCTTTTTTATTCAATTAGATTTTTTCTGAAAATAAAAATTAATTGTTCGCCTACCCTATAAGGATAAAAAAAAAAGATGAAGGCGGGTTAATATTGCCTTCTAAAATTTATCTGGATATAATCTATTCCTCGTCATCTGAGTCATCATCATCCGAGTCACCGAACGCATCTTCATCAGGAGTATCCCCATCCTTAAATAACTCAAAATTGCGCATCATTCGGATGTATTCTCCCTTATTAGTTTTTTCTGATATAAAACTACAATGGAGAATAGCTTGTTCTATGACTACCATTTCTTCGAATTTGGTATACTTTTCTTGACTAATTTTAGTTGATTCATCGTCAAGTTTATCAAAATTTACACCACCATCTGCACAATCTCGCCAGAAAGCCCTTTCAGCTTTCTTACATATATTTTCCACCTGTTCGTATGTCTCCTCGGCTTGCATGCGCCGCTTCCAGAGTACTCGTTCAGCTTCGGCTCTCCAGATTGGGTTGACGTCTAGAAGATGTGGTCTGAAATTACTACTTGAAATGTATTCCAGGATATGGCCTACAAGTTCGGGGATTACTGATACTGTGGTATATACCATGTTATGTACTATTTATCTGTATAGTTACTTGGGACCTACCTTTTATTCAATTACATTTTTTCTCGGTATAAGGGAAATTGCTTGCCTTGCTATTCCGCTCTATTGACTCCATGGCTGGTTTTCTAGATGGGTTAATATTCCTTACCTTTTTTGGCTCCGTTGGCTTTGAAATCCTATTTCTTGTTCGGTTGATTTTTTTCAGATTATATGGTGGTAATAGAGTTGTATGGTAGTAATAAAACTATATGATGGTAACTAGATTATATGAAAAGTGGTAGGTGGATTATATGGTGGTAATTATATTATATAATGGTGGTAACTAAATTATATAAAAGTGGTAGTTGAATTATAGTAAAAGTGGTAGGTGGATTATGTGGTGGTAATTAGGTTATATGATGGTGGTAACTAGATTATATAAAGTGGTAGTAATTAGATTATATGGTGGTGCTGAGCCAGAATTGGGGTTTTCATACTACTCAGTGACATATATTCACATACCAATCATTTTACTTTATAAATTATGTTACCTAAGTACTCCCCACCTTCTAAAATGTTAACTAATATGTTGGTGGAAGACTATACTTTACATTTTACAATATTTCAAATTCCTGATTTGTCACGTAGGTAACAAATAGCCAATGAAAACTCGCGATTTTGAGTGAAATACGTGAGCATGTATATATATAAAGGAAATCAGCCAAAAAAGAATACTAAAAATGCACCAATATTAGCATCTATTTCAAAAAATTGAGATAGTAAAAGCCAGAATTCAAATGTTATGATAAATTTAAAAATAAAATACATTATACATGACTTTTTTGTTTTAAATTTAAGGCTGATGTAAAAATTACCAAATTTCAAACGTTTATAACTTTTTGTGTAGACATTGTTTTTTGAAATTAGACCAGTAATTTAATAGTACTTGTCTTGAAGAACAAAGTAGGACCCCGAAATATATATGTAGAGGTCAGGTCCAAAAGTGGTCCAAAATACGCATTCTTTTAGGGCCAGAATTACAATAATTTCAGCCATTATCTAAATTAGGAAATATTATTTTGGCTGGGATTATCCATAAAAGGAATGATCTACATGATTTTTTTGACTCATTATACGCAAACTCTGACCTGACCCTTCTATGTATATTTCGGGGTCCTAACAAAGTTACCAGTTTATTTCTTTGAAATTCTATACTTTTTAAAGTGTTGAAAGATTTATAAGTACTCTGATTTTATTGTCAAGCATAGATTTCTGGTACCATATATGTCACTGCCCTACTTCATAAATATAGTATGTGAAAATGCTGTAACACAAAATTTAAAAATTGGACTGGTGATAAGTTACTGAAAATTTTGGAGTCTTTTAAAATATTTAACATTAACCTATAAATGTAAAATTCCACATCAATAAGCATCTAATTATTTGATTCACACATTGGAAATAATGGTCTTATATGTTCATATTTTTCGGTAATTTATATTTAATAATTAGATAAATTGTAAAAAAAAAAGATTTAATTAAATTACAAACTAAGTAACTTGTAAAATATTTACTACTCTAGCCTTAGTGTTTAAATAATTCTAAATAAAATAAAAAAATAATATTTGGATAAGCTATAAAAAAAAGGAATCATTTAAATTACAAACCAAGAAACTTTTACTCAAGTCTTAGTGTTTAATTAAATCTAAAAAAAATGAATGAAATAAAAAACAATTTTGTCAAAGCATACATGATATTACTTAAAAAATAGTTAATTTTAATCTGTTTTAATATCTAAGTAATCAGATAAATAAAATTAATTTCACATAAATAATTTGCAAAATTACTTTTTTTCATGTATATTACATACCTAAAGACTTCATATCATTAACTATACAATCATTCAAATCTTCACTTATTGGCATTTCATTCACTTCTTCACTACTAAAATGACTTGCATAATATGCTTGTGAATCTTCACTTTCAAGAATTTCATTCAATTTTTTACTAGTAAAATCAAGTAAGCGACTTTTATAACATGCTTTAGGATGATATTTAGTAGCAAGATTATTATGCCCAATCGGTGCATTTATAAATTCCATAAGGTTGCTTTTTAATTCTTCACTGACTTCAAAAGGACGGAAAATCCATTTTTCAATAATTTTTAATACTTCTTTAGAAGATGGTCTTTTTAATGGATTTTCATTCCAACATTTTTTCATTAAATCTACATAACACTGTGGAGTATTTTCAATAATTTTAGGACGTTCACCTTTACAAATACTTAAACTAAGTTGAATATCATGTGCTCTATTATTAAATGGTGGGACACCAGATGTAAATTCCCACATAATCATAGAAAAACTATATATATCACTAGCTGGAGTATAAGATTTGCCTTTTAAAACTTCAGGAGCCATAAATGGTATAACACCATAAATATCATACTTTTTCAAAAATGATTTTACAGGTTGACATAATCCTAAATCACTAATATAAATTTTATCCTTATTCTTATAATTATGATTTAAAATATTGCCATCATGAAAATCACAATGAATAAGACTTTTTTCATGTATCTCACTAAGTCCAGAAATAATTTCGTACAATATATATAATTTTTGATTCCAATTATTTTTAACTATTCTTGTTAAATTTTCTCTTAAATTACCTTTATTTGCATAATCAATTACTACCATATATTTTGAAGTATTTGGATCTTTTGTAAATCCATAAAAATATATAATATCATTTGAACTTAAAACACTTATATGATATTCCCACTATAAAAAATAATAATAATTTGTTAATATAAATAAATCTTAATTCAAATTAAAAATAGAAAATAATATACTATCATACTTCTTCCAAAAATTCATTTAAATTTTCATTTAAATTCCTGTGACATTTAAGAATTACTTCTTCATATCCTAACCAAACAGCTTTGTATATAGTACCAAATCCTCCTTCATTAAGATATTTAACATTTTTAAATTTGTTATAAGGAATCCATCTTAGTTCATTTTTAAGAATAAAATCATCTATAATTGCATTTCCACTTTTCCCAGATCTATAAATATAAATAATAAATTTATATTATAGATTGTATTATCATTTACACTAAAATAAAATATTACTTACTCTAAAATTAAATAAAAATTTAATATAATATAAGTCTTAATTTTTGGATAAATACATATAATAACCTATAATCTACAACTTACCAACTAAAGTAATAGATATTTTTTAAATAAAAGAATTCAGTTAACAAATAAATATTTTGTAAAATAGTATATAACAATAGACATATAAATATCTTACAAGCTATATCATAAATAATTTTTTAAATAAAGAAATTAGTTAATTTAAATT